AGCAGAACTAAAATAAGAAAATAGACAGCAAAATAATTATAATAACAAAGCCACCTCACAAGTTCACCTGTCCTCTGAAGTTCTCAGGACTGCTGGCATTACCAGGTCTTGAGGGACCTTTGAAAGTTCAGGATTGTTGAGGCCGACCTCAGCTCTTGGGAGAGAAGATTCCACAATGTTGGTACCACAACAGAAAAGGCCCACAACCTAGGTCCCTAGATGTAGCTCCCTAGATGATGAAATTCATAATGTATCTATTCTGTTGGACCTGTTGAGATAGGCAGATGAAATTGGGAATAGGCAATCCCTCAAATAACCTAGTTCCATGCCATGTAGAGCTTTAAAAGTTAACATCTGTGTTGGAATGTGTAAATGACCTTGGGGAAAGAGATGCTGTCTAGAAAACAACCAGAGGAGAGACATGAGCCTACAGTCAAGAAACACCTACCCTAAAGGATCAAGTAATTAAAACTGGAGGCATGAATATTGTGCATTTAGTCTTGCAAGATGGATATAAGCCTTCCTGGGCCAACTAGACAGGAAACACGACAAGATGAACTAATTCTGCTTTATTATAAGGCTATATTAACAGAAGCTTAAGGGGGCGGAATGGCTCAGCGGTTAAAGACACTGAGCTTATCAGCTGGAAAGCTGACAGCCCGGATTCGAGATCTGAGTGCTGTGAGATGGGATGAGCGCCCATTATTTGCCCCAGCTCTTCCCACCTAGATATTCAAAAGCATGCAAATGACAGTAGATAAATAGGTACCACTTGATGGGAAGGTAACAGTGTTCCATACACATTGGCATACAGTTATGTGGCCACATGACCATGGAAATGTCTTCATACAATGCTGGCTCCCTCAGCTAAGAAATGGAGATAAGCACTGCCCCCTAGAGTCAGACATGCAAATGGTTGACGTGATGCTAATTCTTGCCCACTTGCTCAACTAGTATGCTCCAATACATTAGATTGTGAATTTAAACAATTATTTAAGGCTTACAGTAGATAATCCTCCTATACAAGGAATCTAAAATTATCCATGAATGATCATTTCAGATATATCATCTGTGTTACTTGTGATACATACTATAAATCAGTTGATACAAAATTGAACAGCAATCTTCAAAATTTACTTGGATATTTATGATCTTTGACAAATTACAGCTGCCCAGAATATAAATATCATGTGTGAAAAAGGTAAAAACATCATTATATGTCACTTTTCCTCATTTCTTTCTATAAATATCAATAATTACTTTATCACTTTTAGTTGTAAAAATTATTATCCTGCAGCTGTTAGTTTCTGGGGGGGGGAGTGTCTGATAAAAATAATGGTCATTTAGTTGGATAGATAGATAGATAGATAGATAGATAGATAGATAGATAGATAGATAGATAGATAGATGCAATAAGTCAAACTTGGTTTAAAGTAGCAACATCATGCCTGTTGTTAAATAAAGCATTTATTTAACCAAAATGTCTATATATTTTTAAAAGCCATTAGTGCTATTTGCTAAAAAAAAGAAAAGAAAGAAAAGGCAACGTTCTTAGTGCAAGGTAGAAACTAGAGTAGGCAGATTTATATTTTTCCACGGTATCAATGGATCTCTTAAATGTTACTAAGAGAATACCCTACATAAAAATTGTCAAAAATGTTCTTGAAATGCTCTTATTTCATGCAGAACTAAATGGTCCGAATATTCCATTAATTATGTTATAATGGTCTTAATCAGTGAGTACCTATTACTTCAATCAGTATGGCAATTATGGGATTACATATCCCATAACCTTTAGTCAGCATGGCAGTGTCTAAGGCTATGACAATTGCTTCGAAATATTAGGAGTGTTCCAGGTTGTCTATTATCAAGCAAGCTAGTCACATAGTTGTAAATCAAGATGGTAATTAAAATTGTTCCAGTTGAGGCGCTATAAAAATACAAATATCACCTATTTTGTAAACATGATATCAACCGACTCTCCATATCAAAACATATAATTGAAATTAAAGTGTTATTAAATACAACGTATTATCTTAAAGGATAGTACACAAATAACTTTACTCCCCAAACCAAGATTTCTACACAAAATCCCAACGAACCACAGCCTCTTTTTTCATTTGCCCTTCTAAATTGTTTTGAAACAAAAGATTTGGTATATCTCTTACAGAATATACACCATTTCTACCATGTTTGATGCAAATCAGATATCAAATTAAGATTGGCTTACTAAACTTCAACGTTTTGTTCATGTTCTATTCCGTTCATACATATTAATATTTATGAAATATTATTAAACTTTTCCCAGTATTAACACACCCCATTTCCAACATGGATCTAGATAACCTGGCCTTGACATGTCAACTTTTGATTCCTTATTCAAGATGTTTTGGACTACTAGGTGAACTTGAGCTTTTTCCTAGATAATTTCATGTTGTGATATTAGCAAGTGTTGGTAGTAGAGTAGGAAAACAATCTGCTTTGAATCTATTGTATTAGTAACATCATTTTTTTATTGCTGTTTGCAATAAAAAATATTTTTTTATTGCAAACACCTCAACTGAAAACTCAAGCTGAGTGTTGTGAAAGAGATACTTTTTCCTAGGTATCCTGATGACGACTGTTTTTCTGATATGTGGGAGATGACCATCTCCCTAATTGTCCCTAGGTGATGGAGACAACACTCTCAGGAGTTGCATTTAGCCCAATATTTTCATCATTAATGAGATTCATTTTTCTTGCAAGACTTTTGTTAATTAATATTAATACTAATTTTGTTTTAAACTCTTCAGCTTACAGAAACCTTTTTCTATTTTTATAAAAATTTATGTCTTGAATATTAGCTAGAGTAGTAGGATGAGATATAAACTGACTAAATAAATTCCATCATTAAATTGAGTAATATTTATCTATAATTTCTCTGTCATATCTTTCTTTTCAAAGAAGAAAACAAGGCAACTCATTTGGGAATGCAAGGAAAAATAATCATTATTTCCTCTAGTCATACATTTTCCTTAGGCTATATTGTATTGTCAGCTATAAACTAATGAAAATATTCCTGTTAATGTTTCAAGGAAACTGAAATTGCCCCACTGCATGCGTAATTTATTTGTTTGTTGATTTGTTTATTCTGCCACCCATTTCATTGTCTTACTGGCAATGCCAAATCAACACAAAGCTGTTATTTGTATATATAAAGTCTGGAGGAAAAAAAAAGCATTGTCATTTTGATTTAGCTTCCAAAATTATTCATCATCATCCTGTAAACAATTCAGAATTACAGGAATTCTTTCTGCACTTACTCTGATGTTCAGCTGAGTAAAACAAATTAGGACAAAAAGTTAGTTCTAGTAGCAACAGCATTTATCTACAGCCATCTTGTTCTTCAGCAATGTTAATGTTTCTGAATTGTCATTACTTAAAGGGAAGCAGTATTAAGTACTACTTTAGGTTAAGTATATCATATTTCCATTGGCATTCATCATAGAATTTAACAGAAATGGCCAAATTTTTATCACATGACCATGGGGATGTGTTCTAACTTTGAATGGTTGCTAAACAAATGGTTGTAAGTGGAGGACTACTTGTAGCATAGGAAAGCTTGTCATAAAATAAACATAAGCAATGAACCTAAGTGGCCAGTTCCTGTTCCAAACTGATGGCAAGAAAAAGATGCAATGGTAATTCTATTTTGTTGGCTCTTGAAGAATGTAGATATTTATTTTTTGATATTGCCATTAAATCCTCTTATTTATAGAAGGGATCTAGCTACATGATAAAATGTGTTGCATGTGTTAAAAACATGTTGCTATATTAAAAACTACTTTGATAAGTTATTACATTCAAATGAGTCCTTTAGTAGATCCATTTGTCTTTGAATATCTAACTGTAACAACATAATGTACACTTGTAATGTTACTCAGGTTGAAAAATAGTTGCTTTTCCCATTTTCTTCAGTAATTCTTCAGAGATTTATGATGTTATGTAATAAACCTGCTTGGTTAGTAATTTATAGATTTTGCTGTGTATTTAACTGTCAATATAACTAATTAATAGTTAATTCCACATTACTTTATGAAAAACCTATCTTTGTGAAATATTATGTTTCATGGGAAGGGAATGAAGGAAATCACACATCCTGAGGCTATAAACAATAAACAAAAATATATATTAGGGTAGAAAATTAAGGACTTGCTATTTCTTCATAAAATGTTTTAACCCAAGTTCTCAAAAACAATCAGTTATTGTTAGATTAATATTCCTTGTCCTTGAAATATATCATCTTGCTTAATAAGAACCAAGAGCCTTGCCTTCTCAGTGGCACCACCTGACTTTTCAAGCAATTTTCCACCTAATAAACAGTTGATCCTGCAGGCGTTTAGAAGGTAATTAAGACCTGGCTGTTTGTCCAAGCACTTGGTTCAGGATAAGCCAAGGTCCCCTTTTGTAGGAAACAAAAGATCTAGATTCTGGTAGCCATTTAAGGGTTTTACTTTATTTTAGTGGCATGTACTCTTTTTCTTGTGCATTTTTGTTTATTTAATTAATACATGTTTTAATTAATTTATGTGCATTAATTTAATTAATATACATAAATGTATTAATTTAATTAATACACATAAATGTTCTAACTAAGTAAATAATAGGAAATGTAAATGAAATATATTTCAGAAGTTACTGGAAAATTTACTTGATGTTTTCAGAAAATAAATAGATTTTTATATAAATAATATTTAAAGAAACAGAAATTTTAACACATTGTAATTTAAATTAAGAATTTATTAGTATTAAAAATAACTGAATAAAGATGGTATATTTTTAATCTTAAGAATTTTTGATAAAACACTTTACAACTTGAATGTTTGTGTAATGAAAAAGATAGAAACATTTAAAAGGTTGAAGGTAGAATGCCTGAAATATAGTAACATATGGAAGAGAAACCAATTGTTCTATGATTCATTCAGCAGAAGCATTACAAAATAAAACAAATAAATGTATAATTTATGCATCATATATATTAACAAACCTTTTCCCCTGCTTTACAATTTTTCAGCTTTCCTAGACAGAACTAATTACATATATCCCATGTTGCTTTTTGTTTCCCATCTTTTCTTTGCTTCAAAACTGTAAAGAAATACAAGCATATGTCAGTTTCTACTGAAGTACACTTCAGGAATTTTCAGTCAAATTTCATTTAGCAGCAGTGTCTAAATTCTAAGTTTTTAATACTCCAGCAATGAAAAAGGAAAAGTATAAATATTTGAATAATGTGTCAGTTGCACTAAAAATTCTACATAAAATAGATAAACTATTCAAAGAAAAAGCCACGGTTAATATTAAACAAATATGAATCAATCTGAAGAAGAAAAATATTTAAGTCAAATAATCAACTAGCTACAAAGACAGATGCCCATTTACTTACCCCCATGCAAGTTTTTTCTTTTTTCGGGCCTCTTGAGTAGCCTCCACATCTTGCTTAGCTTTCACAAAATTTCGGCAAGCAACAGCTTTTGTAATTTTCACACCAAGCTAAGAAAAAAAGAATATAAGTTAAGAGTCCACAGAAGTTAGACAAACCAAATTAGGCAAAGCAAAAGCAGCTTTTTTTAAAAAAAAATATTTGAGCAATGTTTGCATGGATCAAATTTGTCTGGTATCTACCATGGAAACTGTCTATTTATATTCAGTGGATGGTATAGTCAGTTCTGGTTTTGTCAAGTAAATATGTATTATTTATCTAAAAAACAACATAAAAGCATAAAATTGAAGCTAGCAATACTCATGGTGGGCTAATATTAGCTGACTGAAATTATACATATTAAGCTACTTTTAGTTTTCTTCCAGCTGAAAAGAAGGCAAACGGGATCTTATAGTACAAATGTATCTGTTAAAATCAAAGTGTCCCTTGAGTTTTGCTTATACATATACAGTAATACTTAGGAACTGGGCACAAAGAACTCTATTACTAGAATTTTCTGACTTTCTTAAGATGGATATACTAAAGGAGGAGTTCTGGAAGATGTTGGAACATGAAAAATGTATAAAGGGAATATAGACAAGCAAGAAAGGAACTGAAAGTTATCACCAAATATGTTTTTAATCAGTTATAATGTAAACAGTAAAAAAGTATATGTTATTCTTGGTTTATGTTTTGCATAGAAAGATAAATTGCTCAATGGAGAACTTGAGAAAGGATATACACACCCATTAGAGAAGAAGTACCTATATGATGGAACATATATGATGGCTTAGGACAGACATGTCAAACACAAGGCCCGCAGGCCGTATGCAGCCCGCAAAGTGGTTTCATGTGGCCCACAAAGCCATCCTGGAAGCAGTGAGGGAATGGCCCCCGCTGCCTTGGCCCTGGCCGTCCGGGAGCCAATGTACAATTTTCTGGTGGCCATCTATGCTGAAACGCATTCAGTCTTAGCTCCACAAGGCTGTCTGGAAACAGCGAGGAACCAACCCCTGCCATGTCAGCCACGCCCCATGGGTGCATGCTGGGGAGGTGTCACCCTTTGTGAGGAATGAAGAAATGCACCATCACCTGGAAGTGGCCAGCAAATGGCCCTCGCCTACTTCAAATATCCGGCTTGATGGGCTCTGGGGGAGGGGTTTCGGCAGGCAGCAGGGCACTCTCCTCACAGCACCAAGAGGCTGAGCTGGGCGGCACGAATCCAAAAAGAAGCATGATGCCGCCCAACCCCCAGCCTGCCCGGTTTCGGAAGGCAGCGGGGCGCTCTCCTCACAGCACCAAGAGCTGAACCAAATGTACAGGTATAATATAGGATGTACCTTGCTCAATAGTAGTAACTGAGAGGGATCTCGGAGTCCTAATGGACAATCATTTAAATATGAGTCAGCAGTGTGCTGCAACTGCCAAAAAAGTCAACACAGTGCTAGGCTGCATTAACAGAGGGATAGAATCAAGATCACATGAAGTATTAATACCACTTTACAATGCCTTGGTAAGGCCACACTTGGAATACTGCATCCAGTTTTGGTCACCACGATGTAAAAAAGATATTGAGACTCTAGAAAGAGTACAGAGAAGAGCAACAAAGATGATTAGGGGACTGGAGGCTAAAACATATAAGGAACGGTTGCTGGAATTGGGTATGTCTAGTTTAATGAAGAGAAGGACGAGGGGGGACATGATAGTAGTGTTCCAATATCTCAGGGGCTGCCACAAAGAAGAGGGAGTCAAGCTATTTTCCAAAGCGCCTGAAGGCAGGACAAGAAGCAACGGGTGGAAACTAACCAAAGAGAGAAGCAACCTAGAACCAAGGAGAAACTTCCTGACAGAACAATTAACCAGTGGAACAACCTGCCTCCAGAAGCGGTGAACACGCCAACACTGGAAGTTTTTAAGAAGAAACTGGAGAGCCATTTGTCTGAAATGGTATAGGGTTTCCTGCCTGAGCATGGGGTTGGACTAAATGACCTCCAAAGTCCCTTCCAACTTTATCATCATCATCATTATTATTATTATTATTATTATTATTATTATTATTATTATTATTAATAATAATAATAATAATAATAATAATAATAATAATAATGATGATGATGATGATAAAGTTGGAAGGGACTTTGGAGGTCATTAATAATAATAATAATAATATAAATATACATATGTATTTTATACAAATATTCACATATATGCATATACATATACAAATGCAGACAAGCAATGTTATATTCTTCAAGAATAACCCCACCTATCATTTATTTTACAATTAGAAGAAATGTCTGTCTGTTTATCTATCTCAAGGCTGTGCATAGAAAAAATGTGTTATCAAATCAAAGTAATCTGATCCTCCCAAAGATTTTGTGCAGCCACCCTGAAGGATTTCCTCACCTATGCAATGTATCTTTCACTGAACAGCAAATCCTGGTTGAGTATTATTTCATTAGCACTCTGCACAGAGAACGCCAGAAGCAACCATGCCAATGTGACCATATCATTTTTTTAATATATTTTATTAATTTTTACAATAACAATCTTTAGTGCTTAGTGAACAATGTGTTGCCTGGCTTCATATATTTAAGAACAATCAATAATAATTAATTTCTATAATTGATCAATATGTTAGTTGATAATATATTTCTTTGATCCTCTGTTCTTTCAGTAATATTCTCCTTTTGTCTACATTAAACAAATATAATTCTTAATACTTTCAATACATACAGAGTTGGGTATAAACATTTTTCTAGTATTTGTACATATAACAATAACATCAACATATAACATCTTTTCTAATCAGCTTATGTTTCAATTGTATTTATAGAAGTCATCTTATTAAGTCATTATATGTCCTGTTTTCAAGATTCTTATTTAAGCTTAATTTCCGCTCAGTATTGAAACCACTCTTATCAGTCATAATTTTCTCAAAATTCATTATCTTTGAATTTCCAAACTTTTCATTCAAATACACAGTCTCAATATTTGTACATTTCATATATTATAAAAGTATTATACTACTTATATATCTTACTTACATCCCACTTACTATAGGGCCCCTTTATGTCCAAGCTTTGTCTATTCTTTTAACAATGTTCAACCAAGTATTTAATCATATAGTACACCATCTAACCATCTTACTTTAGGGCCTCTTTATATCCAAACTTTATATTTTTAACCATATTCAAACAAGTGTTTTATTCATATAGTATTCCATTTGGTAAGTTGAATCACATCTCTTAAATCTAATTCTAATCTTCTTTTGCCAGGTCACTTTCCAAATCAGTAGGTTTAGCTTGCCAGGTTGTATTTTTGTAGATAAAAAAGACAGTAAGTAGAATATTCATTTTTTGTCTCCCATGCTTTAATGATTCTCCTGGCAGCTCTTTAATCCATTTTATTAAATCTTTTTTGTCCTCAAGTTTGTTTTGGAGTCCTGGAAGGTAAAACATCTTTTTTATTTCCTTTGTTATAGCAAAATTTTGTGGATTTTCTTTTGTTTGTATTAAGTTATAGTTCTCTTCATTTGTAGCTTCAATATTTAAGTCATTTTCCTCTGATTTGTATCTATTGTCTGATTTATTTGTTCATTCTTTATCGTCCTTTTTTGAGCGTTGTTTAGTTGTGACTTTAGGTTAGAGATATGTTCATTTATGTTATCAAAGTTGTTTTTAATCCCGTCATGATTTAAGACAATTGTCATTTGAATCTGTCGCAGCATTGCATATATTTTCTCTTGGAATGTGTTTGCTTTATCTTGAGTCATTGTTCCTGCAGATCTCTGATGTTCCATGCTGGGGTCTTCAGCAGGAGGTATTAGGTGTGGTTTTCTGTCACTTTTAGATAAATATACAACATCCATTTTGTCTCCCTCCTCTAAATAGTTTTTCATTGGTACCATAGTCTCTTTAATTAGCTTTATCAAGCCAGCCCATCTTAAAATCCAAACAACCAAATCTTGTGTAGTTCTTATCTTTATATATGGTTTTTGTAATCCAATGTGTTTCCAATTATCAAAGCACCACTGAAAACACTATTTTGTAATAGTTCTTCTTTTCAGGGGTCTTATAATTATCAGCCAGCCAAGAATTCAGTCCAAAGTGTTTAACCACCTGAAATCTTTCCAGTAACTTTCCCTTCAGAAGATTAACCAAAGGCCAAGGTTTTTTTTTTCTCTCTGCAAACAGTTCTTAAACTTATTTATTTATAATCCCAGAAAATCAACAGTTTCTAAACATATATAATTTCACTTTGTAGTAGATAACTCAATGCTTTGTTCCCAGCTGTTTTTTTTGCTATTTCTGGGCATCTTGCCAAATTCTGAGTCAATGCAGCTATAGTTTTCTCTAATCCTCCACTAGGTATCAGTAGCTGTTCATTTTCCAGTAAGAGTTATTACTATTATTATTTATAATTTCATCATTACTTTTTTAGGTATGGAATTTTAACAGTTTTCTTAGTTTTAATTTATCCAGACTATAGTATTTTTAACCTCATTTCAATGTATTTTTGTTCCCTATAAGAGTTTAATTCGCCGCTTCCGTCTATGGGAGGATAGGGGTGTAGTTCCTTCCCTTCTCACTTTGGGAGGATTTTTGCTTCTTGAGAATCTTTTCCAGGAAATCAGATACAAAATAGGAGAGAGAAGATCGAATTTTTCACCTAGTTTCAAGCACATTGTTCACTGTTGTTAGTGTCTTTGGACTTCAGCTGCAAGTAGCTTGGGCTGGTCCCCGAGATGTGGCCAGCCTTTCTCCTGTCAGGTTAGAGGGCTTCCCCCAGATCAAGCAAGATGACTGCCATCGTTCCATGATCATTGGGGCATCCCTCTTTCTTCATCTCCTCTCTGGGGTGACTTTAAACCCATTTAGGGTCCCCTGGCAGGGCGAAACTAGTCGTGGGGTGCGGAGCTCTGCAATTCTGCAGCCATGCACTATGGTGCAAAACCAGAAGTCCAATGTGACCATTCATTTTGCTTATGTTGCCATGACTAAAGTCTCCCTATGAAGACTCCATACTGTTTTCCTATACGTTTCTTAACACTACATAAAAACAGTGATTT